GAGCCTGCGCCGCCGGCCCTCCTGCGCTGCCTCTCGGCCACGGGCAGGGCCCTCACCTGCCGGGCCCACACGCTTAGGCTAGACTGGCGTCTTTCCAGGTAGGCTCTTCTTCAGCCAAATGACAAGGGTTATTACACATTATGCGCGGAAACCGCCCGCCCCAGAAGCCAGGAGCATGGCAGCCACGGACCCTCAAGAAGTCACTGTCCTTACTGAAGGTGAAGGAGTAAGGACCTCGGGAAATTTGCTAAGCCTTCTCCTCGCATAAGAGGAAAAAACTAGCAGTAACTGTCAGCCACCTGCTTCAGAACTCTTGAGATTAACCAAAGCGAATGTGGACCTTAAAAATAAAACATCCTTTGCCCTGCCGCCGGGCGTGGCTCAGCGGTTGAGCATCCTCCTAGGATCCAGGAGATGGAGGTTCGATTCCGGGTCAGGGCACATGCCCGGGTTGCGACTCCATCCTCAGTCCAGGGCGTGCAGGAGGCGGCGGGTCAATGACTCTCTCATCATTGATGTTTCTATCTCTCTCTCTCCCTCTCCTTTCCTCTCTCTGAAATCAATAAAGATATATTAAAAATAAAACATCATTTCTCCCCCAGAAACAAAAAGTGGGTTTATTTGAGAATATCAGGGAATTGCAATCTGGAACAAGATTGCTATAGCAAGAACCAGAGGCAAGTCCAGCAAAGGAGAGGAAGCTGGGAGGGACAGCTTTGAATGAAAGTCCATAGGAGGAACCAGAGAAGTCAGGGTAGTGACGGTTTCTCCCTGGTTGACTTCATGAAAATTGAAAGCTGCATTATCCATTAACAGCCAAAAAGATAGAAACAACCCAGATGTCCACCACTTGATGAATGGATAAAATGTGTAGCAGTTCCATACAGTGGAATATTCAGCCATAGAAAGAAGTACTGACACTTGGACAACACAGATAAACCTTGAGAACACTGTGCTAAGCGAGAGAAGCCAGTCACAACAGAGGACATACTGTGAGTCCACTGATAGGGAAGTCCAGAGGGAGACAGTAGATTCATGGGGCCAGGGGAGGAAGTGCATACAGGATGGGAGGTGAACACAAATACATACGGGTTGGGACACAAATACTTAGAAGTGACCATGGCGCATCCAGGAGGTGGAAGTAACATAGATAGGTCTTCAGAAGAGGGGCTTGGGTGGGAGACAGAACCTGAGAGTGGGCAGACGGAGCCTGTGGGAGCATTTCACAAGTAACACATCTGGGGCAGCCCTTGAGCTCCCGACACTGAAGCCTCAGGTGGAGTAGGTAACTTGGCAAAGGGTCCTAGAGAGCTGAGAGGAAACCTGAGACACCCAGCGGGGAGTTGCCAGAGGTGTCCCAAGCCTGAGGTGGGCACCTGTGGACATCCCAGTTGTTGTAAGGCTGCTGGGTGTAGACAGGTCTGTGGAGAGTGGCCTGCCTTGGGAGGGGTGTCCCCAGATCTCTGCCCTCAATTTCTGGGCACTCACTTCACACATCACAAGCCATAAATAGACATCTAGGCCCCTGTGGAAGGCAACAGGTCTACCCTCGGAGCTTTTTTCTGGACCTCCATGACTGCATTCACAGGGATCTCTCTGATTCTTTCCTTCAACAAATGATTATTCTGTGTATCTGGCTCTGTGCTGGAAAAATGGCAGAAAATAAGAAAGAACCTGCCCCATTGTGCTTCTCTTCTGGGGCATGGGAGGTAAGTACCTACTATTAAGTACTGATTATCTACACAACAGATACACACATACTTCTAAATTTGCCAGCTGGCACCACCTAAGAGTCCCTGTATCAGCTGAGTTCAGCAATAGCTCCTCTTGTATTGGTTGGAAGCAGGTCAGAGTGTCAGAAAACTCCAGATAACAATTGCTTAAACAAGGTAGAGTTTTGTTTCTTTCTTGTCAATGAAGCCCGGTTTAGCAACCTGGGGCTGCTGTGATGGCTTCTGATGATCAGGGAGCCCCCTCATTTGCCTCCACCCTCGATGTGAGGTATACCTCACATCCCAACCATCACTTCCACATTCCCATGGGCAGGAGAGAGATGGGCTGTTAAGGGCAGTCGCATGTCTCAGAATTCGCCCTTGAAGCTTCTGCTCATAGGCTATGGGCCATAGCACAGTCAGTCACATGGTCACACTTGACTGCATAACAGACTGGGAGTGTCTTTATGTGGGGGTGGCCTGTGCTCATGTCAAAAGTGTGGCTCTAACTATGGAGAACTGATATTGGTAAAGTTGCTACACTGCCACACCTTCAAAGGGAAGTGTTTAGGACTTTATATTCATCCCTTTTACATATGACCTATGTCTTTACCACCTGACTTTTCTTTAAAAACAAAAAAATCAAGTGACGGTGAAAATTAGAACAGAAATGACGACTACCCAACAAATCAACTTTGTTGTTCCCACAGTCCCCCTTCAACTTTTGTGTGCAGCCAGGGAGACTTCTGCACATGTAAGCTCAGACACAATTGAGATGATCTTTTAGCTTTTGTTCCCACTTATATGTTCCATGATTTAATATATTTTTGTGACTTGTATTTAAATGACTGCCTAGGGCCCAGCCAGTGTTGCTCAGTGGTTGAGCATTGGTTGACCTAGGAACCAGGAGATCATGGTTCGATTCCTGGTCAGGGCACATGCCCGTGTTGCAGGCTTGATCCCCAGTAGGATGCATGCAGGAGGCAGCTGATCGATGACTCTCATCATTGATGTTTCTCTCTCTCCCTCTCCTTTCCTCTCTCTGAAATCAAAACATATTTTTAAAAATAATAAATAAATAAATAAATAAATAAATAAATAAATAAATAAATAAATAAAAAACTGCCTAGGTCCAGCTAAAAACGGCCGATTGAGGCCAAAGTCCAGCTGGAAGGGATTTTGTATTAGATGTCAGTCCACAAGGAAAGAGACTACAGGAGACCATAACACAGTGAAGATGTCCATGTGTCTTGGAAGACAGGAGGCCCGGAGACAACAGGCCAGACTGACCAGGGGAGAGACCTGAGAGAGGCCAGCGTGAGAGGTGCTCCTAGGGACACTGTGGGGTGGGTGGAAGCCTGAGGAGCTGGACAGAT